TTGAGTACTTTTGATGGTAGATATTCATCATGGAAAATTACAGGCACTAACACTTACTTGGATGGATAATTACTCTCATTCCTTAAACTCTGGAATTGAAATAAGAAATATGACAGCTTGTGTTTCTCAAAACTCTGATATTTTAGTATCTGAGGCCTTCATCTGGCTCTATGTTCCATTTCCTTAAAGCAGAGTCCAAGACAGAGAAATTTTTATTTCCCCCAGCAATGAAAAGTATCAAAACGCAAAAAAAAAATCCAAGAATTATATTAAGCCAAAACTGTCATGTCAAATTCTAATTAATGTGTCTGATAGAAAGGCAGACATGGGTTTCTGCTCAGCAACTTTCACCACAGACACTAGTGTAATGTGGTAAAATTCCTTCCTCAATACATGGTTACTAACATTGTTCCAGTGTGGTTTCCCCTAAAGTATGTTCTAAAATCAACATTACGTAAGAAGGTGAGTTCATCATAAAACAAAATCAAAGAAGGAGTTGCTGGATTAAGGAAAGATATTTAAACTTTTTTACAACAGGATTTGTCCCTTTTGAAAGTGTTAGTGTACATTATGAATCTCCAGAAAATGGATACAGAATGTAATAAAGCCGATGTATGTCATGATGGAATCCTGTTTTCACACTAGCTTAGCTTTCTCTCCAAATGCAATCTGGAAAATGTTAGCACAGGGCAAAGACGAGGAGCCCCTAATCTGAGGGGCAGCTGCGGCACTTGGTTTGTTTTGTTTGGCTCTTGTGATCGTTGTCCTGTAGTCCAGCTACTCTTTCCAGGCAATTATTTCCTCTCAATGCAGTGTTTCGGCTCTTTCAGTCATGTTTTCAGACTGAGAGATGCTGAAGTGTTTTGAGCAATGGATAAACCACCAATAAGCATTCTAAAAGCAAACAAGATGACGGGAAAAAAATTTGATGCGTAAGGAGGTATCCTGTAATTAGCCTACCTCAAATCCTTTTTTTTTTAAAATTTTTGTTTCTTTGGTGGGATAGTTTTTTAATTGGTTAATTAATTAATTAATTTTAGAGGAAGTGCTAGGGACTGAACCTAGGACCTCATGCCTGCTAAGCATGCAGTCTACCGCTTGAGCTATACCCTCCCTCCCCCAGCCTACTTCAAATCCTTATGAAACATTTTTATCAGAGAAAATGTGGACCCCTCCAGCTGGAAGCTTACTGTAACAGAACAGGAAAAGAACCAGGCTCCAAGCTAGTGGAACCAACCTTTTGAAATAAAGGAAATTGTTTTAATGTCAAAAAATTCCACACACTCCATAAATGTTACTTGTACTTTTAGTATCCTTTTTTGAGAAAACACACAGTAGCAAGAAACTACTATGATTTCAGTAATTTAAAAACTAATCTCTTATTTGTTAACTGCAACAACTTTTGCGTTAAAATAAGGTACATGTGCGTATAAACACACACATATTCACACAAGGATGTGCAAAGCATAGTTCAGTCTATTGAAAGAGCTCAACCCCTTAGGAACTCTAGACCCAGTCAATAAATCAACAGTCACCCCCAGGACGTGCAGCCCACAGACTGGGAACCACCGTTCTAAGTCCGCTAGCCATCGAACCCTGCCTAGGTCTAAGAGAAATAAAGTCACATTTATTTAGCAAGACTTATCAAATACTTGCTATATACAAGGCATTGTGCTAGGAATTTGAAAAGCAGAGATGAGTAAGAAGACATTGTACTCTTCTTGAGAAATTTATAATTTAATGGAGAAAGGTGAACATGACACGTTTATAGGCTGGTGTAATAACGTGAAATTTCTATTTCTATATTAGTGTAACACGATGGAAAAAATTACATTCCTGTAGCTGCTTTGTCCCCTGTGGGGATGGCATCATTTTTTTTTATTTTGCTAGAGTAAATGGCCTTCTGTGTGGCACAGTAACTTATTTATTTTGGTGTGTAGAGATATTGAGAAGAAAGGAAGTAAGGATTACAGAAAAAGGGAGGGAAAGGAATCAATCGACATGGCGACAGGAAGCTGGTGGGGGAGTGGGGGTGTGTGGGGGAGAGTTCTGTGGAAAAATGAGGACTGGAAGAAATGTTAGACTGGATACAGTGGCCATAGATGGGGGAGAGGTGGTTAAGGTCAACTCCTATTAAATTAAAACATTAACACAGAAGAGTGCAAAAATTGAAACTATACATCAATTTTTCTTAAAACAAACACATCTTGCCTCAAGAAATAGAACATTACTGGAATCCTAGAAATGCCCTCAGAGCCAGTGTACTTTTGTGTTGCTCTGAACACGTTTCTCTCATCCTCACTTTGCTGCTAGTAGTCTGGTACACACATAGATGCCTGTGTGACTGCTTACGTGGTGGCATAAAAATAAAGGACGTGGAGGATCTGTGTTCAATATATGGATTGTATGTGACAAAAAGAAGATGAAATGCACAGGATGTGAAATGTGAGGGAAACAGGGATTCTTTGAGAATGGGCAACTGGAGCCATTAGAAACCATGAGAGCATAAGCTCAGTAGAACTGACAGATATCTTGAGACAGGCTCTTCACTGAGCAAGGATTAGCACGTGTAAAAGCATGGACACTTGGGTGGCCGTGCCACCCTACAGCGGAAGAGCACACAGTCTGTGAGTGGCTGGAGCATAGATTTTGGTTTCAGGAATAAAAGATGAGATCTGAAGAACGTAAATGATGAATCTGAAGAGCTTTGACTGGAGCAAAAGAATTGGGATTGCTTTTTGCAGACACTGGCGAACCAAAGAAGATCTTTAAGAACGAGAGTGACATGATGGAATTTGTCCTTTAGATGGACACTTTGGGGATGAGTTTTCAGCATAAAATGGAGGTGGAAGGAGCTGGTACCAAAAAGAAGACTAAACAGGGAGTTCATTCTAATACCTGGGGTGAGAGATAATGAATATCTACATCACGGCAGTAGGATAAAGATTTGAATTCAGGCAGAAATGAAAAGGAGGGAACAGATGTGGAAGATGTTCAAGTATTTGAATTAAGAGTATTTGGTCACCAGTTGGCCATGAGGAGGAGACAAGGGGAAGACAAGGGCATCCCTTAGTCCCACATCCTGGGGACAGGGTGGATGCGTGCATCATTGTCCCACATCCTGGGAGACAGGGTGGATGTGTGCATCATTGTCCCACATCCTGGGAGACAGGGTGGATGAGTGCATCATTTACTGAAACTGGAGGTGCACAGAGGAGGAACTCAAAGTTTGGGGCTCTGGTTGGAGAAGTTATAATGAGGTTAGTTTTAGATCTATAAGTTCCAGGTGCCCTCAGGACATGGAGGTGAGCATGTTTGTGTGTTAATGTCACAGATGACATCTCTGGAAGTTACTGGAAGTGACAGGGAGAACTCAAAGAAAGGAGATGGAAATGAATGTCAGTGGGTGACAGAGTATAACTGTAAAGGAAATGGGTCTTCAAATTAGTTCAAAAATAGAATAGCATACAGTTACTAGAAAACAATTTTAATTCTCTGTAGCTTTTATTACTGGGTTATTTAAATGAACAATTAGAACAGTTGGTATTGATATGAGAGTATTTTATGATGTTGTTGCTTGGGGGTGGTAGTTACAGAGATGTATATACATGTAAAAATTCACAAAGCTTAACTTCACTTAAGATTTGTGTATTTTATGCACATTACTATATATATATATATATAATTCTACAATACACACACAAACACCGCACACATGCCACACAGATGTCATCTCACACCATGCTTCTCTGATTTCTGGATTCCATTGGCCAGTTACAGTCCCACACTCCAGCCTCCCTCTCCTCCACCACTGCCCAATTAGGAACTGACATAAAGTTGCCAAGTTCTCATTTTACCAAGCACTGACATTTAAAAACACTCACAAATCCCCACTTACTGCCTCATTCATTTCACAAAAGAATGAACTGATAGCAAAAACACAGTATGGATGTGAGCTCCGGGAGGAAATGCATGATAAAACACTCACTGCATGTTCCTGTTTTTCTCCTTTTGGTGCTGGTGACAACTTCTCTGTGGACTGGAAGTAGTTCATGGGCCAGGATTTCCAACCCACTGCCCCAAGGCACTCCTGTGTTCCAGCATCATGATGATAAAGGCACGTATACCACCAATAAAACAGCTCACTCCTTTGCAAATGCACATGAGGTTCTTGTTACACAAGGTGGGATACGCGGTCTCAACAAATCCCTTATCAGTTTCAACAAACCTTAACCTTTGCACCTTGACTTACAGATTCGCTTTGGCCCCATCTCATTATTAGAGTCAAGATTCCCTTTGGATGTGCTGCAAATAATACCAACCGAACCCTTTGTTTATAGCCCTTATTATGTCACTTACAACATTGAATTGCAATTTTTGTTGGCACGGCTATCACCCCAACTAGACACTAAGCCCCTTGAGGGCAGGAACTAGTTTTCCTCATCTTGGTACCTTTACCACAGTGTGAACCTTTCTAAGTATTTGTTGAATAACTGAATGACTGGCTCTGCTCAGGTTATGTCTCCTGAAACATCATAATTACACATGGCATATCCTTGCTACTATTTTATAGTTTATTGATGGAAGTAGGAATTGGCTGTGTCCTTCAACATTCACTCACTCACTCTCAGACAGACGTGAAACCCTTACTATTGCCTTACACTGTGCTAACTGCTAAAGATGACCAAAATGATCCCAGAATGTAGGTCTTGCCTTCGAGGATGTCCAGAATAGCTACGGCTCCTTTCTGGAGCTCCCGTTATCTTTTTAGCACAGTGCCAATTTCCTGGATGATATAAACATAAACCATCAAATTGTCTGCAATCTTAATGGAGTGAACATTTTCTCTCATATGTTTTTCTTATCACTCTGAGAAGCAGTGCCCACTCTATGTACGAGTCTTCATCTCTGCCAGATCACAGCCACTATCCCCATGACTAGTGTGCTTAAATTGGAGCCTTAGCCTTATCCGTGTTAAAGGAAACAATTAATCTGCTTACTGTTGCAAGTCTTGTTGTATTTGCTGTTCTCCTGAGCAAACCCTTCCAGCCGGCACTGAAAACGATGCTGCCAAAATTCTTGAAACCAAGGGTTTCGGAGGTTTGTTTCTGGCCGGAGCTTCAGATAATAATCATCAAACCACTTGACGTCGGGAGATTGGAGCTTGATTGTGATTCCACCAACAGCTTCTCGCTGATAGCCATCTGTCACATCATACCTGTCAGCCCAGCCATCACTGTGGGAAAACAAGAAAACCCTCAGCTTAGGACAGTTATCTTCTAAGAAAATGACTCCATTTGTTTTCCTTCTGAAAGATGAGTTGTTAAACGGTACTTAGGCCACATGATGGTCCTATGTTACACTATGTGATTACTGAGTTAGCAGCTTGTTAGAATTAAAAAGTGCGAAGCACAATGGAAACTCTGGGTCTAAGAGTGCTGGAAGGCACCAGTCTCACTTACCGTGAGCTCCAGAGGATAACCTGGTGCTTTTGGCAGAGTTTTACTGGTTGTAAAGTACAGGATATGCATGGAAGCCTCATAATATCACTATACACACCATCTACTGAACATACAATAGCCAGGTCGAGTTAACGTTAAATACATTCTTTGCCTTTACTTAATCGTCATCATCATAGTGATCATAACAGAAAAATGAAAAGTATTTCTAAAATAGACCTAAAAATTGAACCACCCTATGACATGATATTCATTTTTTTTTCATGTTTTACATGTGATAAGAAGTTAAAAAAGAGAAAATTTCTGATTATGTTCATTCTATTAAATATGGATTCATCAGAGCCTCAAACTGTCGTCCTTATAGTGCAAACCCTCCTTCCTATCCCACAGTACTTCCCTAATACGTTTAACACACACATATGAAATCATGTTTTACATTAGAGTGATTAAAAGCACTTCTTAACAACAGGCCATCAAAGATGGCGGCAGGGATCATGGGCCTCATCATTGATACCATTCTATGCACTGATCGCTCAAAGTCCTCTAGGAATTGAAAAATAAAAGAGTTTGAAATCAGACAGATCCTGTTACGACGGTATAAGAGAGTAAGGAAAAGTATTCTAAGCTTATTTGAAAAAGACATGAGACACACAGTGCTGGAAAGAAAAGAAGTGAAAAGATGTTTATATAAAATGTGAACACACCGTAGGGCATTCAGGAAAAAAGCATCTCTGCCTTTTCCCAGCCTCTCTGTCATTTGGAAAATGCACAATTGTGCTGGGTATCTGCTGGGACCCCGGGGTTACTATCCTTCCTTTGAAGAGCTGCACGTGCTCTTTCAGAAAAGGTAAAGGAAGTCAGGGGAAGTTTAACAATGAAAAAAAAAGTAACAACAAAGAGGGAAGAGAGGATGTGGGGAGAGTTGAGGGGGAAAAGAGTGGAGCTTCCTGAATGCAAGACAGGAAAGGATTTGGACATAAGCTAGGTTGAGGGAGTAGGTTCTGGGGAAAGGCTGAGGGAAAGGATTTACAGTAGCAATCATGATTTATTTCATCAATATTCCAATATTTTTAGCTACTGGAATATTTCTTCTTATCTTCCTTCCAATCTTTCAATGCATTTTTGTCTTTTATCTTTTTCTTTCTTTTTTTTTTTGGAGGCAGAATGCATGCTCCAGTATTTTGCATATAAAATCAGTGCTGGGGAAGGTATTATATAAGCAATTAATTAGAATAAGTGAAAAGAGGCATGTCCTGTTTTTCAATATGCTCTGCTATACCAATTCTGACTTACACGTTGATAATGAGAGTTGTTCCAAAGATCATAGATTGCTCATTAAGATATCACAGGGGCTTAGGTATTTCCTAGGCATCAGTGGGTGGAGGAGGAGAAAAAAATAAACAAAAAATAGACCATTTCTTCCTCTAAATCCTCCTTGACAAGAAGATACTTCATTAAAAATGATCTATGTTGAAATCTCAAAAACTTTTGTGGCACATTAGGAAAAAAAATAATAAATAATGCAATATATTTTGTCCCAGTGTTGAATGTGGTGACTTCACACGTTATCTTCCCTCAAGTTTTTCATTTTCAGCTGCAAAAGATTTTATTTAAAGCTGACAAGTTGAAATGAAGTGGGCTTGTTTGCTTCATTTTCTCCCTGTGTTTTGGAGGGTTTGTTATATCAAGAGAGGAGAGTGCAGGGCTCACTGGCACTGGAGGAGATGCAGGGGCGTGCAGCGAATGGGACAGGAGGCCCTGTTTGTCAAGCAGAAGCCCGTTCCCAGAGGAAGTGGGTATGCAAATTGCTCCTTTTGTTCATGCTAGCTCGCGCTTATGTAACGCTATGATTATGAATATTACGTAAGAAATGTAAGATTATAATGGATCCAATTTACCCTTCACAATTCATTCACTGAATTAAGGGGATTGTAAAAAGCCTGTCTTGATCAACTTTTTTGGAAGTAATATTTCCATTGAAAAAAAAAGTGTCAGGACCAGAGTGTGTTAATTTCCTCATCACTCATCATGTTCTTTAGCTTTTTTTCCCCCCAAGCATGAATATCTACATTTAATAAGTAAAAGATGATTTTTTAGTAGATTAAAAGTTAGTGGTGATTTTTAAAAGCCTTTTGTTCCAGGTATTTCCATTCAACAGCAAAATAAAAATCATAAAAGAATTTGTGTATAAACAGAAGACTCTAATATCTGTGTGACTGAAAAAAAGGGGGTTATTTAGGCTTCGGAAGGAATATCTGCTTTGTAAGCCAAAGAAAGAAGTTCAGTCTATACCGGCTAAGTTAGATGGTGCTATATAGACTTTAGGTTATTAAATATTAACAAGTTCAGAAAAATGATGCTCTTAAGATTTGCATTAGGATGATAGGGTACCTCAAAGTGAGGAGTGATAAGTTCAAAAATAAAAGGAATAGCCAAGAAAAACGTGAGCTTACCTTTCTACTATTTAATGCTTTCCATGACGTTGTTAGAGTGAGCTCTCAAGTTACTGGCACTACTTTAATGCCTTTGGGTGACATGTGTTTTACCAAATCAGGAAAAAAGCAGGGAGAGAGATAAAGAAACTGAAAATGTACCACATTTAAGGCAATTTTCTAGATTTAATATCTATCTATCTATCTATCTATCTATCTATCTATCTACTGATCTTTTATCCAATTTCTCTCCATTCTCATCAGTGGACATTTTACCCACCTCTTTATAACTCATTTCATTATTTTCTTTCCATTTTTTTTGATATACAGTTGCTCCTCATTATTTCCAGATTCTATATTTGCAAATTCACCTGCTTGCTAAAATTTATTCATGACCCCCATATCAATACTCGTGGCACCTTTGAGGTCATTCTCAGACATGCACAGCATGGCAAAAAGATCTGAGTCTCCTGATGTGCATGTTCCCAGCTGAGACTGAATGAGGTGACCCTCTGCTTCCTTGTTTCAGCTTTATACTATAAACCAATATCCTTTTCATGGTCTGTCTAGTGCCAAGTTTTTGCATTTTTGTCTGTTTTTTTTAAATTGATTTTGCCGTTTAAAATACCCACAAGCATAGGGCTGATGTGCTATCTAGAGTTCCCAAGTGCGAGAAGTCTCTACCTTACACAGAAAGTCAGCTGCATTCAGGCATGAGTAGAGTGCTGTTTGTTACAATTTCAACATTAATTCATAAACAACGTATATTAAATAAGGTGTCTTTAGACAGGAACACCCATAAAGCAAAGTTGCATATTGACTAGTTGATGAAAATACTGTGCCTAGAGGCTCATGGCAATTTAAACCTATATTTCCCCTAGGAGTAATGTCAGTATTCACTAGTTCACTAAGTGTATGGTGCCTGTTTCTAGAACATAACTACTATGAACAACAAGAATTAGGTGGAGATTTGAATGTTGTTATATTTAGACTTCCAGTCCTTTTTATTTTTCTTTCTTTCTTTCTTTCTTTTTTTTTTCCGGCTATGAAACAGAGTAACTTGGACACTTGAAACAGGAAAAAAATGTTTTTAACTTACTTAGGTTGACATCACTACGAGAGAAATCTTCAGTTTGTACCCATTCTCAAAATGCCTCCTCAGCAGAAACCTTAGATTCCTTTAAATCTTGCTTGCACATATCTTAAGGACATGCTCATCTAATAAGAATTCAGTTTCATTTTCTTCCCAATATTGCACTCTAAAATATTTACCCCTACTCTATGATCTGTCATTTCCCCCTTCCCCTCTCAACCCCCAATTTCCATTATTTCTCAAGTTAGCCATTCATGAAAGTTTAATTTTTATCTGTTTTCAACAGGAGGTTCTTAATTATAAACAAAAATTGACTCTGAAATTTTCCATCCAAAATGCATCTTCTATATCTTTGTAAGTTTCCTTCTTTTCTTCAACATTTATTAAATATTTACCTTAGACTGCCTTATTTTGTGAAAACAAGCAATTTAGTATCTCAGTGATTTAGAACAAAAACTTGTTTCTTGCTCAGCCTTTAGGCTCACCGCAAATGGCCTATAATGCTGCTCAATGTCACCTTCATTCTGAGACATAGTCTGAAAGAGCAGTTTCCTTCTGGGACATGGCTGACCTCAGAGAAGGGAAAAACAGAAAGTGTGCTGGACCCATGCAATGTTTCTAGGGTGTACTGGACCCATGCAATAGTTCTAGAGTGTATTAGACCCATGCAATAGTTCTAGGGTGTACTGGACCAACACAATGGTTCTAGAGTGTATTAGACCCATGCAGTGGTTCTAGAGTGCCCTGGACCAGCATAGTGGCTCTAGAGTGTATTGGACCCATGCAATAGTTCTTAAGTATTCTGCTCAAAAGTGGCACATGTCACTTCTGCTCACATTTAATCAGCTAAAGTGAGTCATACAGCCAAAACTGACCTGAATGGGACAGGTAAGTACTATTTTTTTCCCACAGAGAGGATCGGTGAAATTGTGAGGGAAAACGCAATCTATCACATCTACCGTGTGTTGAAATTGTACTTAAGCTGAGAAAAACATGTTAAACAAGTTTTACACACTGCACTCCAGGGACTCACAGTCTAGTGGAGGACAGACATATAAATAAATGACCACATACAAACGTATATTGTTATAGGCATGAACCAAATGCAGTGGGAGAGATTAGTGAATAATCGACTAACTCTTTGTAGGAATGTAAGATTTGAACGGAGTTGGAAAAATATGGGTAATGGAGTGATAACAGCATTTTGAAATGTTATTTTCTAGATGAAGGTATTTGTGAACCAAGGAATAGT